CTCGGATTTTTCATTAATTCCAGTTAATTTTAGATTCATCCTTGTGTCATCTAGGAAGTGTTAGATCCATTTTCCATGTTCTCTGGTTGTTTCTAAGGTATCTTATTAATTGGTTACTGACAGCAGTCCTGACTTTTAATTCTGACAGTCCATCCTCACAATGGTCACTTCTGCTGTCCATTCGTTCAATAGAATTTTTAATCTCCTGAATTTCTATTTGAAGCCTTTTTATGGACTCTTGATTCTTTTCTATGCTGGTCATTCATGTTTTGCATAGTTTTGTTTAGCTCTGCTAGCTTTTTATTCGTGCCTTCTGTATACTTGCTGATGGCTTTATTTGGCTCAGTACCTGTTTAACTTGTGTCTTCTGTGAGCTTGCCAAATGCCTATTGATCTATTTTGTTATCTTTCCTGATAATCACTTTATATAATTTGGGTGTGTGGCTTTTGGTTTCATCCCCTTCAATGTCCCATGTATCAGTTTTGGGGAAGTTCAGAGTTTCTGGAAGCATGTTTGTTTGTTTGTTTAGTACCAGGGGTTGAACTCAGGACCTTGCTCTTGCCAGGCAGGCACTGCACCACTGAGTTAAATCCCTGGCCCTCTGGAGGCATTTTGTTGACTTGTCTTCTCATGTTTCTATTTTTTTGTTTATTTATTTGTTTTAGTGTGGAGGCTTGTGTGTTAATTGTAGTGGAAAGCTTTGTTTCTCATATGGAGACCTCTTTAGTTAATGTCTAATTTTCAGTGGTGTCCTCTGTTCATGGCTAACTTTTGGCCTTTATCTATGTCCTAGAATCCAACCACCTCCATTTACTTCCAGTGGCAGGTAGCAGCATATTTGGTTCAGTACCCAGTTTTCCGGGAATGGCCCACAGTATTATTAATGGCTCTAAGACAGTCAGATACTGACATCCCAAGAGACAATAGCTTTGTCACCTAGCTATAGTAATAAGATCAGCATCAATTACAGTGTCAAATGCAAACTGAGTACTGACGAGCCCTAAGGACCAATAATGTACTTCCCTTATCATAGTAAACAGATTTAGAGGGGCATGTTGCACATGCCTGTAATCCCAGCACTCAGGAGGCTGAGACAGGAGGACCTCCATGAGTTCAAGGCCAGTTTGTACTAGAGTGAAACCCTGATTCAAAAAAAAAAGAAGAAAAAACCCCAAACCCTATTAAAACTCAAGAGGGTTGGGGATTTAGCTCTGTGGTTCTGCCGCCTGCCTCGCAAGGGCAAGGTCTCGAGTTCGATCCCTGGTACCAAAAACAAAAAACAAAACAAAGAATTCAGTTTTGAGGATGTAGCTCAGCAGCACAGAGCTTGTCAGGCAAGTGTGAGGTCCTGAGTTCAATCCCTGGTACTAAAAGGAAAAAAAAAAAAAGAGATTGAGTCAAAGGGCTGGGGATTTAGCTCAGTGGTTCCAGCACCTGCCTCGCAAGCACAAGGTCCTGAGTTTGATCCCCAGTACCAAAAAAAAAAAAAA